AGAGAGAGAGAGAGAGAGAGAGAGAGAGAGAGAGAGAGAGAGAGAGAGGGCCGGCTGGGGCATGCGACTGACGCGATATTAACTAGATTCCCGCGATGAGTTTGGAAACCAGATTACAGACAGCGCCCGACCTTGGCGAACAGAAAAGGGCAAACAGCCAGAGAGAGAGAGAGAGAGGGGGGGGGGGGGGGGGGGGGGGGGGTAAGAGGGGAGGGGTTGGATGAGTTGAAAGAGAGATAGAATAGACATTAGAAAGTCAAGCCGCGCAAACGTTGTATTGGAGTGGGGCCCCGGTGGCTGACGCCTGTGGTCCGGAGGGTAGGCAACGTGCCCGACACGGGTGCGGGCGGGCAGCCTACCCGCGCCGGGGGGCCCGGCGCGCTGCGAGACAGAACGGCACAACCAGTCGAACCTGCTGCCTGGAGCTCCACACGATTGTGACGGTGGTTTTTGTTCTTTTGCTGTTTGCAGCGTCCATCTTCCCGTCGCCGTCCTCGTACTGGAGCAACCCCAGCGCCAACCTGTACTCCAACATCGCGAGCAGCCACGGCATGGCCCACGCGCCGCACCACGTCACCGGCCACCTGCCCAGCTACCCGCACTACGCGTGACACGCGCTGGCGTGACCCGACGTGACGGGCGGCGTGACGGCGTGGGACGTGCGTCACGACACGCGGGCCGACCTGTGCGACATGTGACTGAGCCGTGACGACGACGACGTTCCCGTGACGCGACGGTGACGTGTCCGTGACGTGACGAGTCACCCCACCGTGTGTGTTTTGCAAGAAATTGAAACGGAACGCAGTGCGCGTCGTGATGGACCGGTAGTCTCTGGCCGGCGACTCCACAGACACACGCGGCTGCTGCAAGTGCTTCTTTGTGTTCTGTGAAGAAAGAAGCAACTTTGCGTCGGACAGTGACGGTGAAGTGAAAGGACGCTTTTGGAACTTGGTGTCGATTAGTGATATTCAGAAAGAGAGGCGTGCGGCGTTGGACCGGCGGCGGGCGAGCCTAAGGGCGAGCCGCACGGGGGCACCGGTCTTCCTTGTGATTCTTTACCGTAATACTAAATAAGGTATTGTTTATGATAAGTTTAGATGTTGACTCGCGCGGGATTTAACTACTTTCATCCTGTTTTATCGTGTTTTTATTTTTGTTTCATTATTTGTGTTTTTATTTTATTTTTTGACTTTTTTTGTTACTACTTGTACGAAATGTTTGTGCTGTTTCGTCGCAAATAAGCGACATTTAATTGTAAACAATGCGCAAGGTGATTTGTTTATGCCAATCGATATTTTTGGGAACACGATAGAACTGTTGTGGAGTATGAACTATGAACTTCTTTCTAGTCACTGTCTCTGATTACGAAGCAGTGCAAAGCAGGTTCTTCCAGGTGGTGTGTTCTCGGCCACTGACTGCAAACCGGCTGGGCCAGAAAAGATACTGCTGCGAATCAGGACTTTGCACTGTTTCATATATTCAGAGGGAAAGGAAATGATTGTGTTTTGTGATGAATTTTAGAAAGCCTTAGGGCTCTACTAGATCTCGAAATAGCTTTGCTAGTCATTAATGTTGGTATTATGTTGTGTTTTGTTGGTTATAATTTCATCATTTAGCTTTATGCCCAGATCAGACCAATTGGTTGCACAAAAAAAAGTAATAGTTTTGAGTCGACCTGTTAGTTTGATGTTGCTGCGCAATTCGCAATTAGGAGAATTGTACAACCCCCGCTACGAAAACAGTATTCAGTAACAGAGTGGTCCCCCATTTTAACAATGAGTGTTTCGTCCCTCTTTCTCTTCCATCGATATTGCCGTTTAAACATTTAGTTGAATTTAATGTCCTTAAAATAAACTAAAAAACCGGAAAGCCATGCTTACTTAGTTTATTTCAAAGACATGCCTTTCAGCTGGTTTTCATTATTACTAACAAAATAACGATGTTTTCGTTACAAATATTCGGGTAGACTGTACTCTAGCTGGTGCTCGTCTTTATGAAATCTGTACCTAAGGAGTGAGTCAAATGGAAAATTAAAGGGGATCACAAAATGCGCGTACTGCTTGAACCCTGTCGTTATTGTCTTTGATGTTGATATATTAGCAAGAAAAAGTTAAACTGCCGAATTTTATCATTTATGAACTATATTTATTTGCCTGTAATTTTAATTGACGAATGTTTTATGTTCTAGTCTGGTATACTTGATGGTGAAGCTGTTGCTGTGTAAATACCTATTTATTACCTTGTTGTATACTGAAATGTACAGATTATAACAAGTATGAACACTATCTTAGTATTTAGTTAATAAAATTACTTAAAAGCCGAACATTTTGCACTCCGCGTTGAATTCCCTTTCCCTGATTCCGTCACAGTAGCCAGTGTAAACGTCAAGAGAACTGCTTGTCTTTTTGCGCACAGAAGTGGCGACAAAGCAGCCTGGTACCTTATTGTAGACTTTATTATAGAGAGAAAACCAAAACCGTTGGCCACACACCCACACACCTAAAAGTGAAGGGAGTTGGGCTGGATTCCTAAGCAGGATTCCATACCGCTTAGCTGTTAAAGTTGTTTTTTTGTTGTTGTTGTTTTCTCCCCTTGCATCTCCTATACTCCTTGCTCTCTGCTGGTGAGCCTGGTGGCGCAGCGCGGTGGAGGAGGGGG